AGTGCCTCTCCAGAACCTTACACACAACAGGGCCTTCCTGCATTTTTGTTGAAAGGAAGGAAAGCTTGAATGAATGAATATAAATATGGATGCAAATCAGATACAAAAGAAGAGCTACTTGACTTTTTCCTGAGAGAAAGAGAGAGAGAGATGTTTGCTTCTAATTATAGAGTTGTCTCAAAATCCACCTGAAACATGCAAATCTTGGGCACGTGAACACCACAAAAATCAAATCTGATCTCGTAAGATTCATGCTGGTTGGGCAAAAACATCTATGTTTTCAGCTTTTATAATGAAACTGGAACTCCAGAGCTCCCACTGAAGGAGCCCAGTATTCAGTCTTGGCACCCATCAAGCACCAGCAGCTTCAGGCTTCTTGATGCGAACATTCCAAATGCCAATATTGCTTGTTGTCACATTAGCCAATATACAATCCTCAAAATAAAATCCTCTTGATGTCTGATTACTCTTCTTAAGGACCTCATGCTGATTCATTTCAAACTGTGAATTACCTTTAATTCACAGCTTGAACAGGCTGCCAAATTTTGTTTTCTCTGCTCCCAGGTGGCTGTCCCTGATGCAGTGGAGAACTTCCAAAAATATATTAAGTCCTTAGGAAAAGTTGGCAAGCTCTGAGATGCAGGGTGTAAAGACAGGTTAAAAGCAAGAGTTGGCATACATCTCAGTTTGAAAATCAGAATGGCTACAACTAGTGAAAGTGTCTGAGATGACCAGTTTATCAGGAGTGTTCAGCTGGGCTCCTATAAGCCTCAAACTGATTAGTAGTAGTTCTAAATTCTAAGTACAGAATCATGTATTCTTATTAAGAATTAATTTTATTAAGAAAACAATAGTCATTTCCCCCTCTGCCTCCTTACCCAGTTATTTTGCTGGCAAAATTGTGTAAGAGTAGCAGAGCAAATATCGACTTATGGAAGAATATATGAAATTGCTAGAGAGCTGTGATACTGACTGCAATAACACATGGCAGTTCTCAAATCACAAATCAGATTCTCAAAGGAAATACTTTTGATGTTTTGATGATGAACATTGTGGTAGAAAGATAGTCAGCATTGTAAAGGATGGGAGGGGATTTTGTGGTTAATTTTTTAAATTCATCTAAGAAATAATGTAATGCTTGTTATTGGTGATAGCACATTATAAAGCATTCGAATAACCATTCTATTCTCTGTGGTACTGGAATCTTCATAGCACATAGAGAAGTTCAAAAACAGTGGTATTAGTTAAATTAGACTTCTTCCCACCACCAACTTCAGGTCTAGAAGTGTTTTTGTGCAGGGTACAGGTTGTGTCTGGGTACAAAAGGTCCAGTTTGGTGCAACAAATCTCTAAACCCATCAGACACCACAGGGCAGGCAGCCCAGGGGGAAGCGAGGGCTCTGAGCCCTCAGCCTGCTTCCAAGCTTCCCCACAAAGGAGTCACTCACTGGCCCAAGTGCACATACACAGGTAATATGTTCATTTGAGACAAGTGCCCGTTCAGCTTGTCTTCCCACTGGATGTGCAGACTTCATGGGGAAGAACTGTATTCTACCTTTGCCTTTTCTCATCTGTAAAATGGGAGCCAGTCGGAGCCCTCCAGGATCGTTGGCAAGCACTGGGCATGGGGCCTGGGATCTTGCCTGGCACATGTGCCCAACAGCACAAGGAGTATAATGTGAGGCTTCTGCCCTCCCTGTGGTAGTATAATTTCTTTCCCACCTGCCTAGTGCTACATTCAAGGATCTGTTCATATGGTGTGCAGAGCCATCACCCACAGGTAAATTGAGGCTGATCACCACTAGTCTGTCTCTGTAAGGCCATTCGCCAACTCTTGGGGTCCACAGTGGGCATGTTTTCAAACCTATTACTAGTACCGTGAGTGGTGAAACAGGTTTCATGGACAGGAAAGAACAGCCATATGACTACATCTGCCTTTATTCTGGGTTCTATGAAGACGATGCATGAGCATTCTTGAAAACATGGCTTAAAACAAAGGAGCTGCTTGATTTAAAGGGGGGTCTGGATGGTATCCAACCAGACAGACTCCAGATGCTAACAACCAAGTGTAATAAGGACCTAGATATCTGGAGCTGCCATCTTCTCGGGGGCAAGTAGGTACATCTTACCTGCCTCTATGTAGGAGGGTTCAGAGACCAAGAAGGTCAGATACTTTTGTGCTGACAAATAATTGACAGGATGCTATGATCAATTAGAGGAAGGAATCCAACTCAACAATGGAAATCCAAGATTTCGGGCTTTGGTGTCAGTTTTCTCCTCCCTGGCATTTAAGAACTGGGTGAGGCCTGTTCCAAGACTATAACACAGCTCAGACTCACAGAGGCTGAGGGAAACCTAAAGCGTCAGGTCTTCTTTCCTGCAGAAATTATGAAGGGTTAATGTTAAATGCACTTTTGTAGTGCAGTTTAATTGCTAAAGAGTACAACTGATTTCAATTCTGATAATTGTTTGTATATGTACCTGTTACATGTATATATGTGCATATTAATTTGCTTAATTTCCCTTAAGGAGCTCTATTTGTATACTTCAAAATAAAAATAATTTCCCCCATGAATTCCACGCACATCCTTGAATCCTAGGACGATGCTTTCTCTCCAGTACTGTAACCGCCATAACCTGGGTCTTGAGCACCCTCAGTCCAATGCTCTGTGTGTCATGGACAGTCAGTGTTACCCCTGGAGCAGATAGGGTGTCACCCTGCGGATGGACACCCCAGCCATTCTACTGGGGTCAAGCCCAGAGAGAGCAGCGCTGTCAGCAGCACAGCCTGAGCCTGGCTGGTCGTCAGCTTGCACCCAGGCACACTCAGGCTGGCGTCTGCAGACATGGGAGCAGTGTGTGCAGGCCTGACAAACAGCCCAGACTCAAATGGAAGACATGCATGTCATCAACCAGGGCAAAGAGGCCAAGAGGAGGGAATCTAGTAAAATACCCCTGCAATTAAAGGGTTCTGTTTCATAAGACCCTCTTCTCTTACTGCAGCTGTAAGTGGCCCGAGCATGCTCTTGACATTGACCAGCCTTGGGAGGGTGTCTCTCCCGCAGCAGGGCGACACAGGGGCTGCTTCCCACCAAGTTCAGGGCACCAGCAATCTGTATACACTCTGAAAGTTCATAGTCTCCTGGAGGACTGCCCGGCCAAATGGAAAATCCTAGAAGCTGGCTGAAAAGCACTTTGTAGGAAAATATGAGAGGACAGTAATGGCTAATAATGGATGATAATGTGAATACTTGCAATAAAAACTGTTATTATAATTCTGATCTGTGCTGTGAAAGCCTAGACCACACCAGAAGCTGATTCCAACTGAATTCTGATGCCCAATGCTTGGACTCTAGATCAAGCAGCTAGAAAGAGAGCAGCTCATTCATAAAATGGACTCCGTGTCTTCTAGCTTTATTGGTGCTTCCTATCCAGAATCTTAATTCCATGGAATGCACTGGATACCCCCATGCTGTGGACATGCTGTTCTCTGGAAATGCAACCTCTAAACTATAAACCACAATTGGTGAGTTTATTTCTGTTAGTTACAAAGTATTGAAATATTGCATTTCATGGTAAGCATGGAAATGAGCATACTTCACAGCAGGAGCCTAATGCTCCTGCTTTAGGAACAAGATCATTTTACAATGCGGAAAATATTTGCACGCTTTTTCATGTCTGGAAACCTGTGCTGATTTATTAAGTGCTGGAGTATGTGTATGTTATTATATTGCCTTTTTAATAGGAGTGGGGCAAGGTAGGAGGAGAGGGTCTATTGTTTACTAAGATGGCAAGAGGAAGGGCAATTCATAATGTGATTAATAGGAAAGCTGCATTGAACAATGCCAAAGATGATTCTGATTTACCATGTTTCCACATAATTTGGCCCTAAAATCTGGGTTTCGGTTTTATTCCCCTCTTCTTATATTCCTTTGCTTCTTTAAGTGGAGATTTCTCAGTTGTTGAAATTGAACATTAAATTAGAAGACACAGTTCAGGCCAGGAAACCCATAAGAGGATGGTGATGGGGTCAGGTCTTTGGGGGCTTTGCTGCTACATAGAATGGACAATGTGGCAACACCACTGACTTTCTCGCAGCCTCAGAGTACCTGGGAGTCATTCCCAGTTGTTTCATGCGATCACTGATGATCTTCCAAGAGGTGAGCGATGCAGTTCAAGTGCACCGTCAGGCCACTGGAATGTCAAAAATTCTTTCGTTTTGAATATTTTCAAGTACGTGACTATTATACAGAAAAGTTGACTTATTAGGAAGTCTTCTATTATTAGGAATAATAGATTATTATTAGGAATAAAGAAGTTGTGCGAGAAATACCTCCTCGATGCACTCATGGACAAAAGGACAGTACAAAATCTACAATAGTTAAGCTGAGGCCATCGGTTCCTCCACACTTGTCGTTCAGTTGACATTAATCAGCAACGAAGACAGAACTGAGTGAGCTGCAGGGCCCTGGCTTCTGAACTTCTACCCAGAAGCACAATCTCTTCTCCCATCTCTTCCTGGTTGCACTTGTTTGTCTTTAATATACAGTCACCAGATGACCTGCAAGCTGTGAGGTCTTAGGCTCAGTGGCCAAAGCAACCTGCTCAACATGTCCAATCACAGCAGCTTAGACTATCTCTAGCCTCATCAAGGGTGGCTGAGTGCTGTGTATAATGACGCCTGTGGTTGGAGGTACATGACTCTCACACAACTAGCCCAGGATCATAGTTGTTCTCCCACCCCAGGTATTCAAGTGTTGGCCCAACCTATGTCCATATCATCAGAGTCTAATGATGATCTCATTCATTTTCACTCATACACGCTTATCATGGGAAATCTCATTCTGCCTTCTAACCAGACTACGTATTATTGAATCAAGGTTCATATTTTCAAGGAGGAGAAAACGAGATTCGCAACACTGAGACACCATTTCATTGCCAAATGCCTCTGAAGAAGCCTATTTTGGAAACCAAATACTCACGACTTGAGTGATACTGACTTTGTAGAAGCTCTGCCAGTTGGGTCGCTCCACTCTGAAAGAAAAGGAACACACGGTTACTACCCACAGTTTTATTCTCAAGTGGTTATTTTCAATGAAATCGGTCTTCAGACATGCAGCCCTTCCAGTTATACTTTCTCACAGCATCCTGCCATGAATTCTAGATGACAAAAAAAGGAGCCATTTGGACATATCACAGTATGACTTGTGGTTATTGTTGTGATATTATGTATTAATGATGTTAGTCAAGGAAAGCACAGAATGTGAGGGGCAGGAGATATGAAGTTTGGACTGAGAAGGATTTTTGTAAAAACACCTACTTTGTAAGGTGAATCCTGGGGTCAGGTGTTGGGATTCCTATAAGGAAGAACACATACAATACAAACATTAGTTCAATGACACCAGGTGAATGAACACACGGTCTATCTGTTATTGCTGAAGACAGAGTTGCATTAATGTTTGCAAATAGGAAACCACTTACCAATTCCATTAATTAGGCTTCTGTCTGTAGTTTTATTGGAAGGATAAACATTTGCTAGCTAAACTTGCTACAACATGACCATAACTGCCATTTTACCAGAATTTTAAGTAAGACTGGTATCTTTCTAGAAATGTGTGCAACATGGGAACGCATGACCCATATGTGTGAAATTCAAGTGTATAATTTCTCACTTAGCTAGGCATTGATGCCTCTAAGGAAATAAATGGGACTTGGTTCAAACAAACAAATAATTGTGGGTTGTGCTGAAGTATAAACAAGACCATAATTAATAGATTTGCTCAGTTCCTTTTCATGGAAACCTCTCTAATTTTCTACCTACACTGTGACCCATATGCCGTAGATTTACCTCATCTTCACAGGGCACAAGAGATGTGTTCTTAAAATGTCATTACAAATTTGGTGAAGTTTCGGAAGCAATTTGGAATTTGCAAGGGGAGTGTATTATAAAAGGGGTTTCGATTTCAATTTGACTGGAAAGTCACCCTCACACAATTCATTCACTGTGTAGAGAAATTGGGATGTGCACCCATTGGCTCCCTGAGAGTATGCGGCACCTGTGTGATCCTGACAAAACTAGCAGTGAGGAGCACAACGGGGACATACGGGGCTCCCCAAGCACCACACAGACGGAAGAGAGAATATCGACCACACAGCAAGTGTTCCCAAACAGGGGGCATTGAATTCAAGCATATCCAAGAGTTAGTTATATCAACCACTGCTGCAAATAGTCTGCTTTTTAAGCCGAGTGGTGCTACTGTGTGAAGAAAAATTAGGATCATAGCATAATTATCTTTCAAAGAAATAAGCAGGAATGATAACACTGCTTTTTTTTAAAAAAAGATTTGTTTGTTTGTTTGTTTGTTTATACAAGCACCGGGTACAGTCAGAAGCACGGGAGGGTGAGAGAATTCACCAGAGCCAGAGCGGGGAGCAGAACAGGCAGAAGGACTGAAGCACACTGCTGAGAGGAGCAGCGGGCGGCAGGAGAGGTCTGCACGCCTTGTGGGACCCTCGGAGCAGCCGGGGATCAAACCAATGCTGCAGAGGCTGCGGGCAGCTTTGCAACCCAGCGCTCAACCGCTGCGCCACCGGGGAGACCCCAACACTGCTTTAATTGAAAGTGAGCTTTCTGTTACCCAAGAGACGTCTTGTAAGATCACCCCAAAGGGGGACCATAAACTCAACAGCAGATGGAACAGGCCTTTCAACTCAACAGTGGTCAGAAAGCCATGCAGTTTGCCGTGCACAAGTTTGTGTGGCCTCACTGACAGAGGTGACAACTAAAAAAATAGATGGAAGTAACATCGGTTGATTCTCTGAGGTTCAGGTGTGCACCATTATAAATCAACATCTGTATCTACTGTATTATGATCACCAGTAAAAGACTAGTTTCCATCCACCACCATAGAATTGGCTCATTTTAACCAATTAATACACTCCCTTCCCTTCTGATCACCACCATTTTATTCTTATAATCTGAGTTTGCTTATTGTTTGATGTCTTCATCATTCACATAAAAGAGTGAAATCATAGAATATTTGTCTTTCTTCTTCTGACTTATTTCCCTTAGCACCATACCTTCCAGTTCCCTCGATGTTGTCACAAATAGCAAGATTTCATGTTTTTCACAGCTGAGTAGTATTTCACTGTGCACCTACACAGCTTCTTCCTAGCCCACTCCTCTGTCCTTGGGCACTTATGTTGTTTCCATAACTTGGCTGTTGCAAATAGTGCCACAATGAGCGATCATCGGGATGTGTGTATCCCTTTGAATTAGTGTTTCTATGAGAACTGACTTTTGACAAAGGGCGCTAACAATCTCGACCATTTGATTCCCACCCCTTAGCAAATCCTAGATGTCATGGAAAGGGAAACACTTGCAGAGTCAAAGCCAACAGGAACACCGAGGCATGAAACTTACAGCACAGGGTGCCAAAGAAGATGATAAAGAAAAACCAGAAGTTAAAAGGCACAAGAATAGGGCCTCTCCCATGGCGCAGCGGTTGAGCACAGCGCTGAGAGGCTGTCCTCAGCCTCTGCAGTGCTGGTTCGATTCCCTGCCGGCCAGGGAGAACCCCACATAGCGCTGCGGATCTCTCCTGCCTCGCTTGCTGCTGCCCTCAGTAGCGTCTTCGGTCCATCTTGCCTGTTCTGCTCCCCGCTCTGGCTCTGGTGAATTCTCTCACCCTCCTGTGCTTCTGACCTGTGCCCCAGATCTTGTGTAAATAAATAAATCTTTAAAAAAAAGCACAAGAATATGACCACTAACTATAGAGGCAAGCCCTCCTCGCAATCACAATAGCTGCAGCACAGTGCAACGTCACTGCATGTTACAATAACTGATGCTCAAAATAGTGTCTAAGTTATCTAGCAAGACTAAAGCATTTTCAGTATCATCTTTCTAAGAGGTCAGGAAAATATTAATTACTTTAAAATGATTACTATGGAAGGATAACTTTTGGTTATCCAAGAATTTCAATTGCCCAGAACATCTTCTTTCCCAGGGTGCCAAATAAATGAGAAGTTAACCATTAACTTAACTATATAGCAGTTTTCCTACCTGCTACTTTTAAAAAGGATTTCATTACAATTGCATAGGGCACATTTGCATACCTTTAGGAATAAAAAGAGAAGTTCTAAAGTCAAATAAACGAAACAGCTAAATTAGTGCAAAATGCAGTCAGTCTTTGCAGTGCTCTGGAAACCTGGCCTGAGTTTTTAACCTTCATCCAAGTGCTCTGACTTCTGACATAACAGGTGTTCAGGGCACCCAGGTAGTGATGCATGAAACAAATACGAGGGGTATGTTATTGGGGGTATGTTATTGACCGAATTAGAGTAAGTATCGGTGTTCCGAATTCTTGATACAGTTGCTAATAGCAGTCTGAATAAGGTTTTTCCAAACCAGAAATCCAAACAAATGACACATTTACACTGCCCCAGTTACTTTCCCTACACACCCAAATCCTACTGAAAAGCTTGACCACGGCAGGAATCATTGCGGATGTACAAAATACAACAGACTCACAAACGCCTGCCTCTGATGTGTGCATTTCTTTCCTAAGTATCATATTACACAAATTTAATAGTAGAACAGGATGCCAAACTGTTGCCACAAAGTCATGGGAAACTTAAGTAAAAATCTGGATGAAAATCCTACAATTAGAGGATCCTCTGAGATCTAGATTTTAGAGCTGGGGTTGGCAACCTTCTCCTGTCAAAGGCCAGCTAGCAAATGCCTTAGGCTTTGGTGGCGGGGGGGGGGGGGGGGGGTGGGGGTGGGGGGGGGTGGGGGGTGGGGGGTGGGGGGGGTGGGGGGGTGGCGGGGAGGTGTTGCAGTCTCCATGGTTAACTATCTAGTCAAGCCATGTTGACATGAAAGCAGTCACTGATGATATGTACATGAATTGGTGGGGTCAGGTTCCCAGAAAGCTCGATTCATAAACAATGAAATTTGAAATCATATTCACGTTCATGTTATTCATAATATTCATGATAATTTTCTTCTCCTTTTGAAAATCTTAACCACATAAAACATCAATCCCATGGCCTCTACTTTGCCAACCTAGTTTAGAGGATGTTTTCATCCATGAAGCCTTTACTGAACTTCCCCTGAGGACATTATAAGCTCCCTCCATTGTGCCTAGCAATGTCCTCCCTTCCTTGCGAGTATTTCCATTCTCCATGGGAAAAAAAAAATGTCATTTTTCAATTTGGAAGGGATAAGTAAAAGTTGAGAATTTTCAACTCTATTTTTACATGTTTACAGAACTATACACTCTTTGACCTGAAAAAAAAATGCAGGGGCACACACAAACACAGATGGGGAGACTGGGTCTTAGAACCCAAAGACAGCAAATGGTGAATTGTATTCAAAGCAGTCGGGTCTCAGCTCCTAAGGCAGCATTCCACTGCGCAACCTCTGCCACAGATCCAAGAAATGGAAGCTTCCCAAGAGGCTGGTGTCATCGAGGTCTGGTGCAAGCACTGAGGAAAGGGCGACATGTATTTCCTGGACACGGCCATGTTTCAGCAGATGCCTTTGGAACTGGGCCCTCTGGCCATCTGTGCGATGAGAAAGGCAGTACCAGAACACCTGATCTAAGACTGGTGCCCTCCTCTATCAGCCGGGTGGTCCTGAGCACATTACCTCACTGCTCTGTGCCTCAGTGTTCTGCTCTTTAAATTATAGACAGTTAAATGACCGATCTCTTTGGGATCTAGTGAGGACTGAATTATTTGCTATATGCAAAGTGCTGAAAATGAGGTGTTATGGGTCCTTCAAATAATGTTGTGCCAGAAATGAAGCGAAAGAAAGGAGTGGGTATGTAGCCATCCTGGTTTCACCATTTTAGGCCACTTGTTTCTTTCTACCTTTTCCACGGGGCTCATGGTAACACAGATAATTGGCAGAGAATGCAAGTCATGCCTGATTCCAAATTGTGCAAAAGCCCGTTACTACAAAAGCCCGTTTAAACAACCAGTTCTATTGTATACACTTGTTAATGTCAAAATTGCAACTTGCACAAATTATCTCCAAAATTGAAGAACACAGCTGAAAACACTGCAATTGCTGTACAAGTTTGGATGCAATGCCTGAAACGGACGGACTGATCCCTCGGCTAGTGAAGCTGGGGGGAGAGCGAGGGAGCCGAGGGCAGCTGAGGGGGAGAGCAGGGACACAGGTGGGGATGATACACCTGGCCAGGAACAGAGGGTCGCTGCTCACGGCATTCTGACCCCTTTTCAAGGTGGAAGGGGATAAGCACCATTCAGCTGCTGGCAGTGTTGAAATCACGCCCCTAGACCCTAAGGGACCTGGTTGAGTTTCTCCTCCTATGAATATGGCCCCAGC